ATTTTCAAAATTTTTCTATTCTGCTTCCCTTTTAAGTATTAATTCCATCTTTAAGCCATCTCTTTGCTCTCACATGTCCCTATATGCAATGAAAAGTAGCCATACAGTAGCCTGAATACCTTGCTGCTTTGATATTTCTTGTACCAGTTGCCCTAGTGTATCACTTTAAAGCTCTGTATTCCATAAGCCCTGGACAGAGACAATTTCATCACCTTCTTTGCCACTTTACAACAAGGATGGCCTTTACTCCAGTTTTCAGTACCTTGTTTCTCATTTCTTTCTGATACCTCATCACAGTTGCCTTTACTGTCCATGTTCCTACCAGCATTCTGGTCATAACCCCTTAAGTAATCTCTAAGAAGATCAAACTTTCCCTACAGCTCTTCTCTTCTCCTGAGCCCTTGCCAGAGTTCTCTTTATGGTCTGTCCACATCAGTACAGGATTTTTCCAGCCTTTTCCTCCAAATTCCTTTAGCCTCTGCTCATTACCCAGTTCCAAAGCCACTCCCACATCTTCAGATATTTGTTAGCAACAACCCCACTCTCAGTACCAATTTTTCTATCTTAGTCCATTTTCTGCTGCTGTAACAGAAGACCACAGATGGTGAAATTTGTAAGGAAAAGAGATTTATTTGGCTCTCAGTTCTAGATGCTGAGAAGTCCAAGAGCATCAGCACCTGTTGGCATTAGGTGAGGGTCATCCCATGGCAGAAGGCACACATATGAGACAGAGAGAGGAAATCCAGCTCAACTCATCCTTTTCTCAGAAGCCCACTCTCACAAAAACTAACCCAGTTCTACGATAACATTACTCCATTCATAAGGGCAAAGCCCTCATGACTTAATTATCTTCCAAAGGTCTTAATTCTCAACGCTGTTACATTGTCAATTGGATTTCAATATGAGTTTTGGAGGGGACATTCAAACCGTAACAATTAAACATGCCTCATATACAAGTTATGACTTTGCCCCTTAACTCTCATTCAAAAAGAAGTATACTGGATTGCATATGTGTAAGAGTGACATTAATATAATGATGACTTCAACTCTCCTGTAAATTTTTAAATAACTAATTCATAAACTGCATTATTAGCAACAGTCTTCTTAAAATATGTCTTACAACTGAAAGTAACATGCTCCAGTGTTCCATGTGTTCTGACACTGGCCTGCTAGACTGGAGCATGTGGTTCAGGGCATTCTCACAAATACAGATAAAAGATTTGTGCCCTAATTGTGAATTATCTTAAGGAAGAAATAAACTTCTTGAAAGGTGAAGCTACAAAGTTAAATACATAAAGCACAGCAGGAAGGTGATTGGTTTTCACATTGGCATCACAACTATCCATTCTTCTTTTTATCTTATTTTGAAAGGCCAAATCAAAATGTGGGCCCAGGGAAGAAAGGATACGTTAACAGTAACATTAATATAAACTCTATGTTTAACTCCTTGGTAAGACTGGTGAAATTAAAATTAACCTGATTACGTAAGACAAAGATACACAATTTATAGATTTTTGTGGTAGAATTTCAGGCACCTAGTCAATAAGGTAGAATGAATTGATATGGTAAAGATCACCTCTTGTTCTAACTACAGAGAAATGCTGGTCAAAATAAGGCAAAGAATTTACATGCTTAGCCCAACTGGAAAGCAAGTAAGGGAAATTCTCAGGCTTTAGTGATAAATAGGGAGATCAAAGTAAGAGAAAGAAGTATAAATTGAAATTGAAGATCTCCTGGAGATATCAAAACCAAATGTGGACATTCAGGGTATAAGGGCTTGAGTTCAGGATCTATGTGAAGTATGGAGTTAGAACAGATCCCAGCAAAAATCTAGAAAACTGAATGATTTATAAACCCTGAAATCTATGAAATGGGGCCTAGAAAACTCTGCTTATTGATTCAGGAAAGTGTACAGAAAATTCACTTCAGTCCAGGGCCATATCTATGAATCCAATGAAACATTTAAGAGAAACTGGAACTCTAAACCTGTACCGAGCATGGGTGTGGACTCTAAATTCACATAACTCATAAATGGCACAAACCCCCAAGCAAAGAAATTGACAGAAAAACTGGTTCCAAACCAGTGAAACTTGTAGGGCCTTGGTAGAGGCAACCTTGGAACTTCTCTAAGGGAATTCCTCTATAACCCTCAGCATCTGGGACTACCACAGAAAACAATCCCTGCTGTAAATGAAAATACAGAAATGAAATTATAAACTTCATAAGAAAATTAACCACCTTGATGGTGCTTCCCTTGACACAATGGAAAAAAACTGCATACCAAGAAGCAGAGATAATAGGACAATTTGAAGGAGACTTTAAAAGAGGTTGAAAATTGTTTAAAGAGAAAAACAGAATGGAAAAAATTGTTTGTCAAGAAAAGGGCAGTGATGGCTATCTGTGGCCTTTACAAAAATATGCAGCCCATTAAAGGGTGGGGAGCAGAGTTAGATGAAAGTATTGAAGATCAAACTGTTACCTTTGAGAAATTTTTAGAAAATCCTGGTAGAAGAGGAGATTAAGATAAGTGGTGAAAATAAAAAAAGATTTTATCTTTTCACCCTCACCTACAATTCTTTCACATCAGATAATTTGGTCTGTTTCTTTTAAAGTGTTTCTAACAGCAATGGTATGGATTTGAAATGCAAATATAATCTGTTATCCAATTCATCAAAAGAAGTCACTCATATAACTGAAGAATGAGTGAAATTCTGATATTCGTCTATTGGTTTATTTCCACTTTTGTCATTAATGTTCATGAACATATTGACTAATACGCATATTGGAACTACACTTGTTTTTCATTTGCAAACATAGGTTCCACAAAAATCAGTGAAAGCACTCTGTGAGAATCAATTGAGTACGTGGAATTTACCATAAAATATTGTATTTTGTTATTATTTATGTATTTTATAAACGCTGTGACATCCTTTATATCCACAAAATTTGTAAACTTATGTATTTACATGCATATTATTTCCAGAAAGCCAGTTTTAAATATTTACCAATATACCACTGATGTATATCTTCATTATTTATAAATGGTAGGACTTATAAGATGTGGCTCCTACTCCTCTCCAATTCCCACTTCCTTCTTAAATCCCCCCATCTACCCACCAGACACAGACACACAGAGGCACACAAACTCTACTACCATCACAACGTCATCACATTTTGATTTACCTCGCAGTTTTGTTTGGAAAAGTTTTGGCTCTAAAATCCAATAAAACTCAATGATACATAGATGTTTGAACTCTTTCCCCAGAGACTCTCCTGAACACACTGATAATTTGAGTTTATTCATTTCAAGATGTGTCCAGCAAATACAGGGCTGTAAAATTTAAGACTGTTGAGATTTCTAGATTTTTAAGATCTCTGAGCAGCCTTCTCACAATGCAGATGTTCACAGAGCTCTCTGATAAGGGAAATTGGGGAATTATAGCGCAATGAGAGCCAATCCACTGCATGTACGCCACTTTGCAAGAAGCTTCACTTACTTTATTACATAGCACTGAGGCAGCACCTCACAAAGTTCTCTTTATTTTAATAGTCTTCAACCTACTTTAGATGCAAACGTAAGTTGGCTGTCTCTACTAACAGGTCACATCGTAACATAGGAATTACTCTGAAAATGCCTGGAGGCAAACACCGTACAGCAGCAAATAGATAAAATGTTAGATAAGAGTTTGTGCCTAAGCCAGATTTTAGAAATCCCTTGAAACATTATGTTTCAGGTTATTTGCCCAATAAATGCAGAGATCCCTTTCATGCCTTTTAGAAGAGGAGGTGCCCATCCCCTGGCACACATTGAGTCCCTGTATCTGGCATAAGAGCTGATTACTTTGGGACTCTCCTCAGAGTATTACATATGATGTTTGGATGGTTTTCCTGTTTTCAACCATTGACAAGAGGCTTCAGGATATTTATTCAGCATTTGTAGAAACTAGACTGCTGAAATATCTGTCTCTTGTGTTTATTTGACAAGAATCTGTTTAATGGGAGAGTAAAAACATTCCTTCCAGGAGATATTGCAGCAAGAGTCAGTACCTATGTGTAGTGCCAAGAAAAGGGCAGTCATTTTTTGATAGACCACCTCAAGGAGGCCCCATTTTACACAGTGCCTTCATTCTGACTTCTTGTTCTATCCAGGCTCCCAGCCACTTGGATGCTTCCCACTCACACTGAAGTGAATCTTCCCACTCAGTCACCAAACTCAAATACCACTCTTTTCTGGCAACCCCAGACAGACATACCCAGAAATAATGCATTACCAGCTATCTAGATATTAATATTTCTTAATCCAGTCAATTTGATGTCTAAAAATAACCATTATAGTTTATATTACCTAATTTTTCTTAAAACATGTAAAAATCAGAATAAACAAATTTCCATGTAATCTTAATAACAGTGGAGAGTATATTATGATATGTCTTCTCACCAACCAAAAATTAACTTATACTTTTGATTAAGGTTAGCTTCAAGGGTAAGTTCAAGTTAGCAGTGCTTAATATTCTCAAAAATAAAGAAAAAAGATAGTCTCTTCATTTGTTTTTTTCATATTATAAGAAGGAGGCAATAAAAATAAACAGTTTTAAAACCTGAGTAACAAACAGCTTTGGGAACACAGGGAGACCCTGTGTGGTCCCAACTACTTGGGAGGCTGAGGTGGGAGGATCACTTGAGCCAGGGAGGTCAAGGCTGCAGTGAGCTGTGGTTGCGCCACTGCACTCCAGCCTGGGTGACACAGCCAGACCCCGTCTCAAAAACAAACAAACAAACAGAAAACTGAGTAACTTTATTTTCTCACTTTTGATTATACTTTGAATTTAAGACTTTTCTAGAAACCCTCATAACTATTTAAAATTTTTCTCAGGTACAAAGATAAGATGACTAGAAAAATAGTTGAAAATTGGGTCACCTCTGAGTTTTCCTTTGGATGTTAAATGGTCGCTTCCTGTCTCCCACTGATAATCAGGAGTCATTTGCTCATTTATTTTTCTCTCATTCTCAGGTAAGCCTCTGAACATTCCCTGCAAAGCATTCTTCGGATTCAGTGGAGAGTCTGGGCCAATGATCTACTGGATGAAAGGAGAAAAGTTTATTGAAGAACTGGCAGGTCACATTAGAGAAGGTGAAATAAGGTAGAGAGCTTGAATTGCTTATCTTTTTTTGCTGTCTTTGCAGTTATGTAATGAAACATCCTACAAGGGATTCTGCTCAGGATTTTAATTGCAACTCCAAATCATTCCATTGTCTAAAAGCTGATGTTATGGAGAAACCAAGGATGACTGCCTTAAGAAATGACAATGTGCAAGCTTCTAACATAAGTAGATTTTTCTCCCATTTAAAGATTTTGTCACCAGGGTATAATGCCCCTCCAAAAGCTACCTAAGCAAATTTCTTTGAGTTTCTAAAGCTAAAACCACTGGTACTCCAACAGTCACAGCAAAGGTCCAGTCTTTGAAGGTGACTCCTCAGACCACTGTGCAAATTGTTCATTTTCTACCTGGGAACAGACAACTTCATATGTCATAAGTGTAAAGATGCAGTGGCAATGGTAAGCTGGTGCTCAGCCAAAATAACTGTTGACTCTTGTTGAATAGTGTTTATTTTTTCCCAGCATCTAATACTTATCCTGAAAATACTGATCCTTCAATTTAGTACATGTTTAGACCTCTTTTCACTCTCCTGTTACGCAAATACCTCTCTGGTTTATATATATCAATTCTATTGGTTTTCTAATTCTATTTAGTACTTTCTCATTTGTACAAGAAAGATATAAAAATATAGGTAACCTTTCCTGACTCACTTAGTTTATGAGGTTTCTCTTTGGTTTCAGAGATGATGATGTGTAGTGTATGTTCCTGATTCTGATAGGAATTGGGATTCTTCCCTCTTCACTCCCATTAAGAATCATGCAGTGGAAATTAATCTAAAATTTTAGTACAACTAATGTTAAAATTTATTCCTTCAGTTTTCTTATTGAATATGCAGCAGCACAAATGAGACAAGTACGCTTTGTATTATTTCCTATGTTTAAATATTATTTATAATTACTCTCATGACAATTTCTCTCTATGTGTCCACCCAATAACTCTTCTCTAGGGGTTCATAACTTTGAAGGTCTGTGAACCCCTTAAGAGTCTATGCAAAATATTGACTATAGGAGCATATTTCTAGGCAAAATACACATGAAAAGGTGTTTGACATGTTTAGTAATCAAGGAAATGCAAACCAAAACCACATGATACCACTTTATACTTACTAGGATGCACTAGGATGGCTATAATTTAAAATGTCAGATTATAGGCTGAGCACAGTGACTCAGGCCTATAATCCCAGCACTTTGGGAGGCCAAGGTGGGTGGATTTCTTGAGCTCAAGAGCTCGAGACTAGCCTGAGCAATATGACAAAACCCTGTCTCTCCCCCATTCCCCGCCAAGAAAAAAAAAATATATATATATATATGTACAAATCTTAGCCAGGCATGGTGGTATATGCCTGTAGTCCCAGCTACTTGCTACCTGGGAGGCTGAGGTAGGCGGATCACTTGAGCCCAGGATGTTGAGGTTGCAGTGAGTCATGATTGCTCTACTACACTCTAGCCTGGGTGACAGAGCTAGACCTTGTCTCAGAAAAAAAAGTCAGATTATAACAAATGTTGGTAAAGATATGAAGAAATGGGAAACCTCATACACTGCTGGTAGGAATAGCCCTCCTAGGAATATAAACAAAGTAAATCAAAACATGTGTCTACAAAAAACTTGTCCATGAATGTTCATAGCAGCATTGTTCATAATAGACAAAAATGAAAACAACCTAAATGTCTATCAACTAAGGAATGAATAAATAAAATGTGATACATTCGTACAGTTGAATATTATTTAACCATAAAAAACGAAATACTGGCATATATTGCAACATGAATGAACCTTGAAAATGTTCTCAGTGTAAGAAGCCAGAAACAAACAAACAAAATAAACACATACTATATGATTCAATGTATATAAAATGTCCACAATAAGCAACTTTATAGAAACAGAAAGTAGATTACTGGGTGCTTAGGGTCAGTGGGGAGGAATGGAATATAGATGTGATAGCTAAAGTCTATGGGTGTGTTTTTGTATGTGTGATAGAATACAACATTACATAAAATCCATCATTTTAAAATTCACAATTTAATGGCATTCAGTACATTCAGAATTCATACAACCACCACCACTTTCTAGTTCCAGAACATTTTCATCACTCTAAAAGGAAACGTTATACCCATTAAGCAGTCTCGGGCTTCTTTGTAAGATAATGCCTGTAATCCCAGCACTTTGGGAGGCCGAGACGGGCGGATCACGAGGTCAGGAGATCGAGACCATCCTGGCTAACACAGTGAAACCCCGTCTCTACTAAAAAATACAAAAAACTAGCCAGGCGAGGTGGCGGGCGCCTGTAGTCCCAGCTACTCGGGAGGCTGAGGCAGGAGAATGGCATGAACCCGGGAGGCGTAGCTGAGAGCGAACAGCCGCCCACTCACCCCACCCCGGGGGAAAAGAGCAAGCCCCCCTCCAAAAAAAAAAAAAAAAAAAAAAAAGATAATGAAAATATTATAAAATTGACCATAATGATAGTTTCACGTCTGTGAATATTCTAGAAAACGAGGAATTGTTTACTTTTAATAGGTAGATTACATGGCATATAAATTTTATCTCAATAAAGCAGTTTTTCTTAAAAAAAAAAAAAAAAAAAACCCTTGAAATTAATTGCCTGATACAGAACAGATTTTCAGAAATAAATAATGGGTATATTACAAATGATTCTAAAGTATTAATTGCCATTTATACTTTGAAGTTTCTAATTAGTAACACTTTATTAGGCAATTTTAACTTAATATTTATTTGAAATCAATACAACTGAATTCATTTTAAATTGTTATAGAAGATACATGTTTAAGATTACTGTCAATATATCTATGTATAAAAGACCTTAAGGGTCACTTTTCATTCTACAGAACAAGAAACTGGTCCCCAAATGGATGTGTGATAGGTACACTAGTACATAGTTAGTAGCAGAAGTTCTATCACCAAAAAGCTCAGACATGTTTTGTGATCAAGGGTACTAATTATATGAGCCTAAGATAATAATCTCCCTTTTTGTATGTGTGGCTGCATATAACTTTTAAAATAAACAGCTTTATCAGAGTATAATTGACATATAATAAATCACACAGTTTAAAGTGTGCAATTTCTAAGGGCAGACTGATATGTATACACCTGTGAAACCATCACCACAATGAAGATAACATATTAATCACCCCCATGTTTCCTGGTGTCCCTTTGAAATCCCTCCCTCCTGCCCTTCTCCAACAACAGGGATCTTCCTATCACTATAAATCAGTCTGCCTTGTCTAGAATTTTATATAAGCAGAATCATACAATAGGCGCTTGTTTTTTTCTGGATTATTTCATGTAGCAAAATTATTTTGAGATTTATCCCAGCTTGTTATATGTGTCAATAGTTCATACCATTTTTATTGCCAAATAGTGTTCCATTATATGATTATACAGAAATTGTTCTTCTCTTCACCTGTTGATGGACATTCAGGTTGTTTCCAATTAGAACTATTATGAAAAAATCTGCTAAGAACGTTCATATACATATCTTTGTATGCACATATATTTTCTTTTCTCTTGCCTGAATAACTAGACATGGCTTGCTTGAATTGTATAGTAGACATATAATTAATTTTTAGTTTATTCTTTAAATAAAATTTAAATCATTTTTAAACAAACTTTATTTTTTAGAATAATTTTTGATTTATAGGAAAATCATGAGGATAGTATCTAGAGTTCCTATATACCCGATACCCCGTTTCCCCAATTATCGACATTGGGGACTGCTCCATGTCTAGGTATCCAGGCAGGAGAAAAGGAAATATATGTGTATACAAAGACATGTATACGAATGGTCATAGCAGCTTTCTTCATAATAGTCCAAATTGGAAACAATCCAATGTCCATTAACAGGTGAATAGATGAGCAAATTGTTGTATAGTCATATAATGGAATATACTTGGCAATAAAAAAGGAATGGGCCAGGAGCGGTGGCTCATGCCTGTAATCCCAGCACTTTGGGAGGCCAAAGTGGGTGGGTCATGAGGTCAGGAGTTTGAGACCAGCCTGGCCAAGATGGTGAAACCCGGTCTCTACTAAAAATACAAAAATTATCTGGGCGTGGTGGCAGGCGCCTGTAATCCCACCTACTCAAGAGGCTGAGGCAGAGAATTGCTAGAACCCAGAGGTGGAGGTTGCAGTGCGTTGAGATCTCACCACTGCACTCCATCCCGGGTGACAGAGAAAGACTCCATTTCAAAAACAAAAGGAATGAACTGCTGACACATATGACATATATATGTGTGTGTATATACATATATATATACACACACACATACACATATATATAAAGTGTACTAATTCAAAATGAATCAGGCTAGGTGCGGTGGCTCACGACTGTAATCCCAGCACCTTGGGAGGCCGAGGTGGGTGGATCACCTGAGGTCAGGAGTTCGAGACCAGCCTGGCCAACATGGTGAAACCCCGTCTCTGCTAAAAATACAAAAATTAGTTGGGCATGGTGGCGGTGGTAGCAGGCACCTGTAATCCCAGCTACTCGGGAGGCTAAGACAGGATAATTGCTTGAACCCAGGAGGCAGGGGTTACAGTGAGCTGAGATCATACCATTGCACTACAGCCAGGTGATAAGAGTGAAACTCCATCTCAAAAAAAAAAAAAAAAAAAAAAAAAAAAAAAAAAAAAAAAAAAAAAAAGAATCAAAATTAATACATTGTTATTAACTAAAGACATTTCTTTACACATCTTTCTTTAGTTTTTGTCTACTGTCCTTTTTGTTCTGCAGGATTATTTAACTTTTTAAGAATCCACCTAACTGTATTCCAAACTGGTTATACCATTTTACAAAAGAAAAGGGAGACACTGCTGCTGTCTCCAGCAGCAAATGATTAGAGTTGGTGGGAGAGAAAACATATATACATGAATTGGATAAATCCTGAACAAGCCACCATATTAGTGGCCAAATGAGTCAACCAGCTAGGAAATGCTATATAGGAAGACAACCTTTCAGAACTTGCACA